TAAATGCTTCAATAATATTGAAAAAGGAAGAGTCCTGAGGCGGAAAGAACCAGCTGTGGAATGTGTGTCAGTTAGGGTGTGGAAAGTCCCCAGGCTCCCCAGCAGGCAGAAGTATGCAAAGCATGCATCTCAATTAGTCAGCAACCAGGTGTGGAAAGTCCCCAGGCTCCCCAGCAGGCAGAAGTATGCAAAGCATGCATCTCAATTAGTCAGCAACCATAGTCCCGCCCCTAACTCCGCCCATCCCGCCCCTAACTCCGCCCAGTTCCGCCCATTCTCCGCCCCATGGCTGACTAATTTTTTTTATTTATGCAGAGGCCGAGGCCGCCTCGGCCTCTGAGCTATTCCAGAAGTAGTGAGGAGGCTTTTTTGGAGGCCTAGGCTTTTGCAAAGATCGATCAAGAGACAGGATGAGGATCGTTTCGCATGATTGAACAAGATGGATTGCACGCAGGTTCTCCGGCCGCTTGGGTGGAGAGGCTATTCGGCTATGACTGGGCACAACAGACAATCGGCTGCTCTGATGCCGCCGTGTTCCGGCTGTCAGCGCAGGGGCGCCCGGTTCTTTTTGTCAAGACCGACCTGTCCGGTGCCCTGAATGAACTGCAAGACGAGGCAGCGCGGCTATCGTGGCTGGCCACGACGGGCGTTCCTTGCGCAGCTGTGCTCGACGTTGTCACTGAAGCGGGAAGGGACTGGCTGCTATTGGGCGAAGTGCCGGGGCAGGATCTCCTGTCATCTCACCTTGCTCCTGCCGAGAAAGTATCCATCATGGCTGATGCAATGCGGCGGCTGCATACGCTTGATCCGGCTACCTGCCCATTCGACCACCAAGCGAAACATCGCATCGAGCGAGCACGTACTCGGATGGAAGCCGGTCTTGTCGATCAGGATGATCTGGACGAAGAGCATCAGGGGCTCGCGCCAGCCGAACTGTTCGCCAGGCTCAAGGCGAGCATGCCCGACGGCGAGGATCTCGTCGTGACCCATGGCGATGCCTGCTTGCCGAATATCATGGTGGAAAATGGCCGCTTTTCTGGATTCATCGACTGTGGCCGGCTGGGTGTGGCGGACCGCTATCAGGACATAGCGTTGGCTACCCGTGATATTGCTGAAGAGCTTGGCGGCGAATGGGCTGACCGCTTCCTCGTGCTTTACGGTATCGCCGCTCCCGATTCGCAGCGCATCGCCTTCTATCGCCTTCTTGACGAGTTCTTCTGAGCGGGACTCTGGGGTTCGAAATGACCGACCAAGCGACGCCCAACCTGCCATCACGAGATTTCGATTCCACCGCCGCCTTCTATGAAAGGTTGGGCTTCGGAATCGTTTTCCGGGACGCCGGCTGGATGATCCTCCAGCGCGGGGATCTCATGCTGGAGTTCTTCGCCCACCCTAGGGGGAGGCTAACTGAAACACGGAAGGAGACAATACCGGAAGGAACCCGCGCTATGACGGCAATAAAAAGACAGAATAAAACGCACGGTGTTGGGTCGTTTGTTCATAAACGCGGGGTTCGGTCCCAGGGCTGGCACTCTGTCGATACCCCACCGAGACCCCATTGGGGCCAATACGCCCGCGTTTCTTCCTTTTCCCCACCCCACCCCCCAAGTTCGGGTGAAGGCCCAGGGCTCGCAGCCAACGTCGGGGCGGCAGGCCCTGCCATAGCCTCAGGTTACTCATATATACTTTAGATTGATTTAAAACTTCATTTTTAATTTAAAAGGATCTAGGTGAAGATCCTTTTTGATAATCTCATGACCAAAATCCCTTAACGTGAGTTTTCGTTCCACTGAGCGTCAGACCCCGTAGAAAAGATCAAAGGATCTTCTTGAGATCCTTTTTTTCTGCGCGTAATCTGCTGCTTGCAAACAAAAAAACCACCGCTACCAGCGGTGGTTTGTTTGCCGGATCAAGAGCTACCAACTCTTTTTCCGAAGGTAACTGGCTTCAGCAGAGCGCAGATACCAAATACTGTTCTTCTAGTGTAGCCGTAGTTAGGCCACCACTTCAAGAACTCTGTAGCACCGCCTACATACCTCGCTCTGCTAATCCTGTTACCAGTGGCTGCTGCCAGTGGCGATAAGTCGTGTCTTACCGGGTTGGACTCAAGACGATAGTTACCGGATAAGGCGCAGCGGTCGGGCTGAACGGGGGGTTCGTGCACACAGCCCAGCTTGGAGCGAACGACCTACACCGAACTGAGATACCTACAGCGTGAGCTATGAGAAAGCGCCACGCTTCCCGAAGGGAGAAAGGCGGACAGGTATCCGGTAAGCGGCAGGGTCGGAACAGGAGAGCGCACGAGGGAGCTTCCAGGGGGAAACGCCTGGTATCTTTATAGTCCTGTCGGGTTTCGCCACCTCTGACTTGAGCGTCGATTTTTGTGATGCTCGTCAGGGGGGCGGAGCCTATGGAAAAACGCCAGCAACGCGGCCTTTTTACGGTTCCTGGCCTTTTGCTGGCCTTTTGCTCACATGTTCTTTCCTGCGTTATCCCCTGATTCTGTGGATAACCGTATTACCGCCATGCATTAGTTATTAATAGTAATCAATTACGGGGTCATTAGTTCATAGCCCATATATGGAGTTCCGCGTTACATAACTTACGGTAAATGGCCCGCCTGGCTGACCGCCCAACGACCCCCGCCCATTGACGTCAATAATGACGTATGTTCCCATAGTAACGCCAATAGGGACTTTCCATTGACGTCAATGGGTGGAGTATTTACGGTAAACTGCCCACTTGGCAGTACATCAAGTGTATCATATGCCAAGTACGCCCCCTATTGACGTCAATGACGGTAAATGGCCCGCCTGGCATTATGCCCAGTACATGACCTTATGGGACTTTCCTACTTGGCAGTACATCTACGTATTAGTCATCGCTATTACCATGGTGATGCGGTTTTGGCAGTACATCAATGGGCGTGGATAGCGGTTTGACTCACGGGGATTTCCAAGTCTCCACCCCATTGACGTCAATGGGAGTTTGTTTTGGCACCAAAATCAACGGGACTTTCCAAAATGTCGTAACAACTCCGCCCCATTGACGCAAATGGGCGGTAGGCGTGTACGGTGGGAGGTCTATATAAGCAGAGCTGGTTTAGTGAACCGTCAGATCCGCTAGCGCTACCGGACTCAGATCTCGAGCTCAAGCTTCGAATTCGCCACCATGGCCAGCAAAGCGGTAAAGACATCCGAGAACCAGAAGAAAAGGAGATCCCGCGATGCTGCTCGAAGTAGACGCGGTCAGCAAAACGACGAGTTTGTCGAACTGGCCAACCAGCTCCCACTGCCCGCAGGACTGTCCTCACAACTGGACAGGTTGTGCATAATGCGTCTGGTCAATTCCTACATCAAAATGAAGAACCTTCTGCAGAGTCTGGTTAGCCAGGACACTAAGAAGATCGTCAGTCTGAATGTGGCTGGAACAATGGTGTACGACAAGGCCTCTCTCGGCGCTCTGGATGGTTTTGTGTTCGTAGTTACTCCTGATGGTCAGTGCATCTATGTATCTGACAACATCACCCATTATATGGGCCTGACGCAGATTGAAGTTACGGGCAACTCATTCTACAAGTACATTCACCCGTGTGATCACGAAGAGCTGTCCAATCAGTTGGGCGGACAGATTCCTCTCGAGGACATGGAGATATTCGATGGACTGTTCTGTTCCGATTCCGTGTTCATGATGTCAAACCACCTGAAAGGGGAAAGCAAGAAAAGCATTCACGAAAATCCGCACAAATCATTCTTTCTGAGAATTAAGAGCACGCTGACCTCCCGTGGGAAGAATGTCCATCTGCGAGCCTCTACTTACAGAGTGGTGCACTGTACTGGGTGCATGAAAATGTCCGTCAAGGTGTCAGATAGCGGAGAAGAGGAAAAGGTGCCACTCTTCATGGTTGCTATTGGCGTGCCCCTTATGTTTACCTCCACTTTCGAGGTACCACTGGATCGCGCCACATTTACCAGTCGCCATAGCCTGGACATGAAGTTTCTCTCATGTGATGACTCTGTGAGTGACCTCCTTGGCTTTACTCCTGCTGAGATCGTTGGGAAAAGCTGGTATCACTTTCAGCATGCATGCGACCTGGATACAGCCCTGGCCTGTCACAAAACTCTTCTCACCAAGGGGCAGAGCGTGTCCAAATACTACCGGTTTCTGGTGCGCAATGGAGGATGGGTTTGGCTGCAAACCAAGGCCAACATTGTGTATGACAGCAAAACTTGTCAGCCCCAATTTGTCCTCTGCACAAACTACATTATCATGAGGGTCGACGAGAAGGATTTCGTCCTTTCAACCGAACAGTTGAATCCAATCCCTGCACCATTGGGGCTGGACCTCGTGGTCAAGAAAGAGAACGAGAAAGGAAGAGGTAGAGGCACACGAAGGAAACACAGCATCGTGTTGGAAGAAAGGACCAAAGTTCTGAAGGCGACCGCCAATGAGCAACGGCCTTCAGCAGATATCAAACCTAAGAAGGAAAGCAACCTGAAAAGCTGCTGCATGAAAACACTCCCAAAGCAGGCAGCTAAGAAGTCTTGTCAGTGCCTCGAAGATGTGGACTGCGAGCACATCAACTTTCAGGAGTGCATACCCGTGGCTTGGGACACCAATGACGACCTGATCGAACAGCAGAAGGAGTATGAGGAGTTGCTGCAGACCCATTACGGCGTCACAGACGATTTCCCTTCTCCGACACAGAGTGAGAATAGCACAGCCGAAAACCGGGTACCGTATATCCCTAGCCCTTCCAATGACCAAAATATCGACAAAGGCAAGGTGGCCAATGAGGAGGAAGAGAACTTCGATGAGAGGGCGCCATTCATTCCCCTGAGTATCATGGACTCTGAGCTTGATTGCGATGATAACCTGATAGTAGAAATCCCCTTTCTGGATAGCCCAATGATTCCAAGTCCAAGCTCATGGCTGCTCAATGCAGACGAGAGCATACCATCTCCCGGTTCCTCTGTGATGCTTCCACCCGCAAATCCTCCTCCCTACAACTGTCGGCCTTCTCTTTCTAACTCCAGTAGCCCGGTGCTGAATCGGAAAGAAATTCCCATGGCCGTGAAACGGAACGGCTATGTTACGAACGAAACCGCCTATAAGGGCAAGGCCTTGTTCCCCAACATATCTCCCTGGGAGGCTGAAGTCAATGCACCCGTGCAGAACATTAATCTGCTCCAAGGGGAGGATCTGCTGGAAGCGTTGGAGTGTGGGGACTTCCTTCATCATCATCACCACCATTGAGGATCCGCCCCTCTCCCTCCCCCCCCCCTAACGTTACTGGCCGAAGCCGCTTGGAATAAGGCCGGTGTGCGTTTGTCTATATGTTATTTTCCACCATATTGCCGTCTTTTGGCAATGTGAGGGCCCGGAAACCTGGCCCTGTCTTCTTGACGAGCATTCCTAGGGGTCTTTCCCCTCTCGCCAAAGGAATGCAAGGTCTGTTGAATGTCGTGAAGGAAGCAGTTCCTCTGGAAGCTTCTTGAAGACAAACAACGTCTGTAGCGACCCTTTGCAGGCAGCGGAACCCCCCACCTGGCGACAGGTGCCTCTGCGGCCAAAAGCCACGTGTATAAGATACACCTGCAAAGGCGGCACAACCCCAGTGCCACGTTGTGAGTTGGATAGTTGTGGAAAGAGTCAAATGGCTCTCCTCAAGCGTATTCAACAAGGGGCTGAAGGATGCCCAGAAGGTACCCCATTGTATGGGATCTGATCTGGGGCCTCGGTACACATGCTTTACATGTGTTTAGTCGAGGTTAAAAAAACGTCTAGGCCCCCCGAACCACGGGGACGTGGTTTTCCTTTGAAAAACACGATGATAATATGGCCACAACCATGGCCTCCTCCGAGGACGTCATCAAGGAGTTCATGCGCTTCAAGGTGCGCATGGAGGGCTCCGTGAACGGCCACGAGTTCGAGATCGAGGGCGAGGGCGAGGGCCGCCCCTACGAGGGCACCCAGACCGCCAAGCTGAAGGTGACCAAGGGCGGCCCCCTGCCCTTCGCCTGGGACATCCTGTCCCCCCAGTTCCAGTACGGCTCCAAGGTGTACGTGAAGCACCCCGCCGACATCCCCGACTACAAGAAGCTGTCCTTCCCCGAGGGCTTCAAGTGGGAGCGCGTGATGAACTTCGAGGACGGCGGCGTGGTGACCGTGACCCAGGACTCCTCCCTGCAGGACGGCTCCTTCATCTACAAGGTGAAGTTCATCGGCGTGAACTTCCCCTCCGACGGCCCCGTAATGCAGAAGAAGACTATGGGCTGGGAGGCCTCCACCGAGCGCCTGTACCCCCGCGACGGCGTGCTGAAGGGCGAGATCCACAAGGCCCTGAAGCTGAAGGACGGCGGCCACTACCTGGTGGAGTTCAAGTCTATCTATATGGCCAAGAAGCCCGTGCAGCTGCCCGGCTACTACTACGTGGACTCCAAGCTGGACATCACCTCCCACAACGAGGACTACACCATCGTGGAGCAGTACGAGCGCGCCGAGGGCCGCCACCACCTGTTCCTGTAGCGGCCGCGACTCTAGATCATAATCAGCCATACCACATTTGTAGAGGTTTTACTTGCTTTAAAAAACCTCCCACACCTCCCCCTGAACCTGAAACATAAAATGAATGCAATTGTTGTTGTTAACTTGTTTATTGCAGCTTATAATGGTTACAAATAAAGCAATAGCATCACAAATTTCACAAATAAAGCATTTTTTTCACTGCATTCTAGTTGTGGTTTGTCCAAACTCATCAATGTATCTTAAGGCGTAAATTGTAAGCGTTAATATTTTGTTAAAATTCGCGTTAAATTTTTGTTAAATCAGCTCATTTTTTAACCAATAGGCCGAAATCGGCAAAATCCCTTATAAATCAAAAGAATAGACCGAGATAGGGTTGAGTGTTGTTCCAGTTTGGAACAAGAGTCCACTATTAAAGAACGTGGACTCCAACGTCAAAGGGCGAAAAACCGTCTATCAGGGCGATGGCCCACTACGTGAACCATCACCCTAATCAAGTTTTTTGGGGTCGAGGTGCCGTAAAGCACTAAATCGGAACCCTAAAGGGAGCCCCCGATTTAGAGCTTGACGGGGAAAGCCGGCGAACGTGGCGAGAAAGGAAGGGAAGAAAGCGAAAGGAGCGGGCGCTAGGGCGCTGGCAAGTGTAGCGGTCACGCTGCGCGTAACCACCACACCCGCCGCGCTTAATGCGCCGCTACAGGGCGCGTCAGGTGGCACTTTTCGGGGAAATGTGCGCGGAACCCCTATTTGTTTATTTTTCTAAATACATTCAAATATGTATCCGCTCATGAGACAATAACCCTGATAAATGCTTCAATAATATTGAAAAAGGAAGAGTCCTGAGGCGGAAAGAACCAGCTGTGGAATGTGTGTCAGTTAGGGTGTGGAAAGTCCCCAGGCTCCCCAGCAGGCAGAAGTATGCAAAGCATGCATCTC